TATAACTTGGAAAAGTTCTAGACTTTCGAGCGGATATTATATAGACAGCAGCCGATAGGTTTTTCGGTTGCTCCGGATGTGAGTACCACTGTGCGTATGGGCAATTTCTGTGTGATGATAATGATGTACGAGGAGTGTGTGGGATGTACCAGTGTGTGATGTAAACAAATAATCGGGGTCTTGAGATTCAGTCGCCGTCGCTGTCGACGCAGTGCCCTGCCTTCTTGTTGTGTTTGTAATTAAAAAAAAGCAGCATTTGCATGCCGCCAAAGGAACCGGTGTGTGTGTGTGTGTGTTGTGTTGTGTGTGTTTTGAAAAATCCCCGCTTTTGTTTTTGTTTGAATTTCTTAGACATCGCGGCGTCTGCTGCTGCGTCGACGCTGACTTCGACAGCGGTTTTGTTTTGGTTTTTTGCATTTTGTTTGTTTGATTTTTCGGCGTTTATTTATTTATATTTTTCGTTTATTTCCCAGTGTGTGTTTGGGGGTGGGGGGTGTGATAAGGGGGCATTGCCACGCTGATTTGGCGCCAATTGAAATGCGGGGGAAGTCCTTGAAGCGGCCAAGGACACTTTTATGAAGGGGGAGGTGTGAGTGCTAAGTGGGTGTTGAATCCCGGAATTGGGTAATTCGATTCAAATGGGGCATGTCTAATAGGTAAAGCTGCTTATGGATGATTTATTAGTTCAGTTTTTGTTATAAATGTACTGAATGTAATGAGTAAAGTTATTTATTAAGGGATTAAAGATATATGTTTATGAAAAGAATAATTATTTTATCAATTAAAGACTGTTATTTAAAATTATTTAATTTTTATGAGAGGTTTTGAGTATGAAGCTAGCCTTAGCATTCTTTTTCTTATAAATAAATGATTAACAAGAACTTATGAATAGGGTTCTTCTATTAAAATAACTATAATATCTTTTTCTAATCAATTATTGTTTAATATATAAGCATATTATTTCATTTTAATCATTTAACCTGTTAACTTTATTTGTTTATTTATCTAAAGCTATTAATTATTTCTAAACTAAAATTTAACTTTATGTTTATGTAAATTGTTCTATTTCCTTTATGAATATATAATTAATAAGAATTAATGGGTAAATTTTATTATTGAATGAAAGTTATTACTGTTTTATAAATTACAAAATATGCTTTGATTTAATTAGTGACGATTATTATAGCAAGTTTATCCTTTAATTTATGTTTATTTATGTTTGTGGCTAAGCTGATTTACATTACCCCAATTATAAATGTAATTACAGAGGGCACTCGATGCAAAGAACTTATGAAAACAATGTCCCTGTTATAATTAAAATCAATGTTATTATAAAATTACTTCTACTATAGCATATATATTCATTATACTTGATTTTGGTAATATTTTCTATTTTATTCATGCATAATTTCGACATCAATCTCACTCACTTCACTTCCAAACTAGTATAAATTATTCCCTATCTATATCTCACTTTAATGACCTCATGGACCATACCCACCAGATACAAACATAATGAAATCCATACAATATAACATGTAGTATATGTAGCCTATGTATCGCAGCAGCATAGTCTGTTTCTTTATTCCCATGAGTGGTATATCTTCCCCTCAAATCTGAAATAATTCACAGATACACACACAGTTTATTCGAATTGAAGGCATGAGGCCATGCCAAGCTATATAACATCCATTTATGCGCTGCTAAAAACCAGCCCAAAAAAGGTCCAACCAAACCACCTTGAGATACAAGAGATAAATAAGTAAAGTAAACTCATGCCATAGCCCGAGCCCAAGACGAAAAACCAATCGCAAAATTACCTGACATCGTGAGCATCGTCGAGTGAAACCCAAAACTACCAGCTTAATCCCCGAGCGGTGGGAATCTGAAGGGGAATATGCTATAGTATTGCCATATATAAATATAACATATATAGAGAGAGAGACACAGGGGCAGGGCGAGAGGTAGGATGGTTTGTGTTAGGTAGAACGTAGAAACGAACCAAAAAACGAGCCAAAAACACCGAACCGAACTGAAAACTTCCTAGGCAAACACAATGGCTTGCAGAGATACTGCGATACAGAGATACAAAAGATATGTTGGCCAACAAAAGGAAGCCCGAACTGAAAGTTGAGGCTGGGTTCGGTAATGGCAAATGGGATTGGGATTGGGACCAAGACCAGGGACCAGGAACCAGGGACCAGGGCCCAGGACCGAAACCGGGGCATCATCTTGATTGCTCCGATGATAATGACGCTGCACGAAAATTCACGAAGAACCCAGGAGCTAAGGCAGCTTAGGCGGCAGGCAGAAGCAGCAACCATTAGGGTGATTCTGTGGGAGGGGAATCTCCAGCTGAGGAGGAGCCGGAGCTGGAGGTGCTGAAGGCGAGGGCGGGAAATACCCCCGGGGGCCAGGAGATGGCGAGGGACAACTCTCGAGGCGATTAAGATAAAGTGCCAATCGATATAAGGGAAAGAAACGTAAGAACTGGCGAACTGAGCGAGCTGAGATGTTGAGATACTCGTACTTGGAGCTACATCCGCATCCACGTCCAACGTCCGTATCCGATGCTGTGCATATATATATACACTAAACGATGAGTTAATAGTGGAGTTTGGCTCGGTTCCATTAGTAAATCAGGATACGTTTGGCCAACAACATTTTTATTGAGGTTCTTGTATTATCCTGTGGGTAATAGATTAAATAAGGTGTGTAAATATTCACATATTTAATTAAGAGAATTGCAAATACGAAAAGTTTTGAAAGGTTCATATGTACTTCCTTAATATATGAAAAGCTCTATATTGTTTCATTTATTACAATTATTTCATTTATTGTAAGCCTCTTGGTCTTTATTTATTTATATAATACTCTATACAAAAATTTTTAAAATAAAGATAAACAAAATATCTGATTAAATGTCATATTAAAAGATTATAAATCTCTAAGGATATGAATTTTCTTCAGAAATTTTGAAAAACAAAAATAAGAAAGAAACATAGAAAGAAAGATAGACATCATGTTATCTGAGATCCCTTTCTTATTAAAGAAAATGTTCTACAAATTTCAAAGTGTTTTCGAAACCCTTCACTAGTATTTTGACCGATGCTGTAACTATATATCCAAACTCAGTCCCAGAGCCATAGCCGTAGCCATAGCTTGGGCCATAGAGAGCGACATAAAAGGAAATATAAAACCATTTATAAAGCGAGTCAGTCAGGGGAGATTTGAATTGGAATTGATGGTGTAGTGCACTCGACAGCGGCATGGTGTGTGTGTGTAGTATCTGTGTGTGCACACACACACACACACACACATTCAGCCAGAGGAAGACGAAGCCGAAGCATAGACGAAGCGCAGTCGCGTTGTGTGTCAAGGTGCGAGTATCTTGAAGATGGAAAGTGGAAGGGTTCGGGTTCCTTGGGCTTGGGTTTTGCTCTTAGGTTTGAGGTTCGTTTTCGGTTTTTTGGGATTGCGATTGGGATTGGGTTCTCGGGCTGAGAAACTTTCAACGCTGGCTGCGCTGCTTCTGCTCCTGCCAAGAAGTTTCCGGCACAAAAACTTTGCTCCAGAGTGAAGAGAACAGCTGCGTAAGGAAACCAGTAAGAGACTGAGACAGTGAACAACCCCTAAGCTGGCTGGCTGAGGCAGCAGCACAAGTCCGGATATAGAACCCAATTCCGTAAATCCGTGTCAACGATAAGAAACGAGGGGAATCACCACACGTAGCTGTAGGTAAAGTATTGTATATTCTGTTTAATATCCAAGAAATCTAGAACAAACTCAAGCAAAATAAATTGCTTATAGAGTCTGGAAGCTTTAAAAACCTAACTTTATAAGTACCATTGGTGAAACGGACATGCTGTTCGCATTAAGTCATCTCGATCTCGATCTCAGCCTCGATCTCTCCGGGGAGCTGTGCTAATCCAAAGACCGGCTCTCTGACTCAGTCAGGTGGCTCTGGGTTCCGTGACTCAGCAGCCGAGACTTACTATAAACATCTTCGGGAGGCGTTGCGAAAAGGGGGGCGCGTCCCAATCATACGTTCGCTTTACTGTTTACAATCTCCAATGGTGTGTATCCGCCAGATACAAGATACCATATACCAGATACAAAGTAGGTGCCTCTGTATGGGTACTCCCCAATATGGAGCTCTAGGGGTATGGCTCCGGTTCTGGTTTTTGGGGCTGTATACATTTCCGAAGGCGTACATATAACTATCATTTATAAGTTGTGCAGAGATGTGTGTCTCCAACTATAGCCATAATTGTATCTGTATCTGTAGCCGTATTTCAATCTGTATCTTCTGCCGTCATAGTCCCCTTGACTCTCTGAAGTGATGGATTGAACAGATGCTATGGAAGACCTCGAGGTCGTGTCTATATGGTATAATCTGATAGACTTTTCTATATATATGTATATGTTTATGGTTTTTAGTTTGCCACAATCTGATGAGTCATGTGAGCTGATTGAGTTCAAGTCCCCAGCGGATAGAGCACTAGCTTGTCGAACGAAATCATCATAAATTTGTTATAGCTGTCCTTATAAATTGCTCAAAAGGCTGATTCATTGCAGTAAATACCGCAGTTTCTGAGAAATCAGGGCTGGTTGGGGATTTTAGAGATGTTTAAAAAAAGTATATAGGGAAATTAAATATACTATAGCAACGAAATTGATATTTATTATTTGAAATAAAATTACACACAAAATGTTGGCGCCTAAAATTCAAATGCAAATTATTTGAGCACATACCGTTAATGCAGGGCTGCCAGACCTACGCAATTGGTACACGATATTCGCAGCGGGGAAGAAAAATATTTTTAAACTTCCTTTTCTTAATTATTATCTTAATAACACATTTCTTTTTCATCTTTTTCAGATCCCGTTGGTGTCTTTTTTATTTTCATCCCATTCCGTGGCTTGGCGAAGCGTCAGCGACGCCCAGCTCTTCAAGATTTAAGATTCGGGGCCAACAGCAATTCCATCCGCAGCCCGAGATGCCTACCATCCGGCGCTGCTGCATCATCGGCTGCCTGTCCAATTCGCGTCAGCATCCGAGCATGCAGTTCTTTGCATTTCCGCGTCCCGAGAATCCCTTCCATAAGCTGTGGAAGGAGGCATGCCACGCCTCGCTGCGCCGAATTGTGCCCTTCAAAAAGCCCGTGGTGTGTGCCCTGCACTTCGATCCCAGTGTCCTGGGCGGACGAAGGCTTCAGTCCAATGCCTTGCCCACACTGCGACTGGAGGTGCCCTCGAATCTGGAGGCCGTGGAGCAGCAGGCGATGGTGGAGGAGATCGAGAGGAGCAGGAAGTGTGCCTATATCAATGCCGTCGTCTACGAGTGGCTGGTGCGGGCCAATATCAATCCTCAGCTAAGGGGGAGCATAACCCATGGCATGATCAAGGATAAGGCGGAGAATGCCCGCCAGGTGATCGGTAGCACCTCGTTCATTGCGGACAATCGCTGGCTGAACCGCTTCCGGGAGACGCATCTACAGGGCTTTGCCCAGAAGCTGGCCAGCAATCAGCTAAAGTCCTTGGGCTCTTCTCTGTGGATTCCTGATATTGTGCAGGACCTGGCTCATCTCTTTCCGCCCGCAAGCGCAGAACGAGTGGCCAAGCTGGAGGAGATGCCCGAGCAGTACATGAGCTACATGCAGCAGTACGGGGAATACGAGGAGGATGATGACAGTATGGATGTCAAGGAGCAGAGCTACCAGGAACAGCAGCAGCAACAACAGCAGCAGCAACACTTTGCTCTCCAACAGCAGCACATGCAACAGCAACAGCAGCAGCAGATGGGTCATCCATGGCCACCGTTTCCGGGACATCCTGGCCATCCGCCTCATCCAGGATTTGCCAGCTTCAATGACTTCTACTTCGAGCGTCACCAGCAGCAGATGCAGCAGCAACTCCAACAGCAGCAGCAGCAGCAACAGCAAATGCAGCAGCAGCCACAGTTCCCACCTTCCATGCCGCCGCAAAGGGAACCCTTTCAGCCCCAACTGCCGCCCAATGTACCGCCTCAGAGAGCTAGTCCTTTTCAGCCCGTGCAGTTGGCCAAGCGGCCCAAAATGGAGTCCCCCGACGACAATGAGGTGCAGGAAATCAACTCAGCGGTGACCTCACCACCACTTGCCCCCACAGAATCAGCCAAGGACAGTCGGAGTTCAAGTCCCAAGGAGCAGAATAACAACAGTAGCGGAGGAAGGGATAGTGCCAGCAGCAAGGAGAATGCTCCTAAAGGCGGCGGACCCAGTGGGAAGTCCACGCCAGCGCTCTCCATCAAAGGAAAGGATTCACCAGCACCAGCCAAAGCCGTCTCTGCTCCCACCTCGCCCAAGAAGATCTCCAACGGTAGTAGCAGCACCTCCGAAAGCCAAACCAATGGTCACACATCGCCCGAACCCGAACAGAAGAAGAAGGTGGATATGATGCACGAGCTGGATAGCTACACGCAGGCACTGGAGTACCTCAAGCCTCTGGAGGATTTTGTCCTCTTCAAGGAGAACTTCCGGGCGATTGGGCTGCTCTCCCAGCTGGAACTGGTGCTCCGGAAGGGCGACAAGGCCACTCTGGTCGAGGGTTAGATAGACTTCCCTTCACAAGACGACGAGCACAAAACACAAATGTGATGAACTGTGTACATATGTATCAAAAAAATAGTATTATTAATTTTTCCTAAAGAATATCCTCTCACAGAAGCTGAAAATAATTAAATAATTTATTAAATATAATAAGAACCATTAAAATGGAATTTAATATTGATGGAAATGTATTTAAAATGGTTCAGGGCATGGGAAACATTTATTTTTGTATTAAATGAAAAACAAAAGTAGATTTTTGGCTTCCCAATGGTTTATTATTTGTTCCTAAATATTTCACTTTAGTTTTTACAGTGAGAAATTTAAAAAGGTGTTATCGAAATTGACGGTTATTGAAAGTGCAGTCTGGCAACGCTATCTTGAAATTAGAGTGACCGCACATAATTAATCTGTAAGGAATGATAACCTAAAATCGCACTTGGTCACTCTAAGCCAATGTTTACGTTTTTCAGCGAAAAATTAGCAAATTGTTGCTAAAAAACTAATTATTAATAACAAAACTGGCCTAAAACCGCACAAATGTCGCTGCTCAATCAATACGAGCAGCAGTACGCCACGCTAATAGCGGAAATAACCGCCCATATTGGACGTTTGCAGCAGCAGAACAACAACAGTAAGTACTCAGCCGATTTTCCTGCCAGCGGTGATTAATTTTCACCTGTATTTTCCGTAGGTGAACGTAATGACTTGTGCAGCAAGATCGATGCCAGCTTACCGGAGGCTCAAGAGCTGCTGGAGCAGATGGGACTGGAGGTTCGCGAACTAAATCCGGCACAGCGCAGCAGCTTCAATGGTAAACTGCAAGTGGCCCAGGCGGAGTTGAAGCGCCTGCAGACGGAGTACAAACAGACCAAGGACAAACAGCGCGCCCAAGCACACAACACATTCACCACCTTGGATCTGGGTGATAGCTATGATGATGTGACCATCAGCACCGATCAGAGGCAACGATTGCTGGACAACTCTGAGCAAATCGAACGCACGGGCAACAGGCTAACCGAAGGCTATCGCGTAGCCCTGGAAACGGAACAGATGGGCGCCCAGGTGTTGAGTGACCTGCACCACCAGCGGGAGACGCTCCAGGGAGCCAGAGCTCGCCTAAGGGAAACCAATGCGGAGATAAGCCGAGCTTCGCGCACCTTGAACAACATGATGTTGAGGGCCATGCGTGAAAAGGTCGTCCTATATGGCGTTGGTATCTGCTTCGTGGTAGCCGTTGGGGTCAGTATCTACCTGACCTTTGCCTCTGGATCCTCGGTCACCTCGTAGTCATCCAAATAGCTAAGAAATAACCAATGATAGTTCGATTGTAGGCCAAGTTTAGCCATTCCAGTTTGTCGTATGTTGATTATTTATTGTTTTAGCATATATTTTACCTTTATGTGTTACATAGTCTGTGGAAGAAAGCTTCAAACTTACGCACTAAGCTAAATACGCTCTAGGGTGGCTGCATTCTTTTAACCAGAAATTGTAGGAACAAAGAGTAATACCTGGATGTCTCAATTGTATACAAAAAACCATAAACTTTGTATTATATTTTGCCCTAAGAAAATTTCCATAAAAATATACCATTTCTCAAAAGGATAATTATATAATCGTAGAAATTTCCGCCAAATACGTTTCCTCAGTTCCCCAAAATGCGATCCACCCTAAGTTACGTGTACAAAGTTTATGTAGTTAATGTTTGGCATGACTTAGCGCCTGGATTATAATAATAGTAACCTTATCCTAATCTATGACTCGTGTTCGCATCCGGGACGTGTTTCGCATTAAATTCGAAATTAAATATTCATATTCATAGCCAAAAACTGTTAATAAATAAATCATAAATACAGTAAAATGCATTTCTGCAAGGGGACATCATTGAGTGTGGCTTCCTAGCCGAACTCAATGTTCCCCAACTGCTAGCAACCGCAGGAGGATGCGTCCTCTTCGTTCATCACCGCATCGCTGGCTGTGTCAACCTGGAAACTCTTCTGCTCCAGGGCCTGCAGTTCCATCTTAGAGCGATTAGCGTGTACGAGCTGCCTCGAGATATCCCGGAACATCTCCTCAACGCCGGCACCGCTGCGACAAGAGGTCTTGTAAGTGGCACTGATCAGCGAGTGACACTGCTCGCAGAAGGCCTCTACCTCCTCGTCACTAACCTCCGGCTCCCTGCCTTCCAGATCACTCTTGTTGCCGCATATGAAGATCTTGGCATTCTCCGCATAAGTCACAATATCCAGTAGATGCTGTGAGAGCGAGTGAAACGAGGCGGCGTTGTCCAGGGCAAACACAAGAATGGCTCCTTCGGCGAATTTGTAATACGACGAGGTCACCGAGGCCACGCGTTCCATGCCGCCAGTGTCCCAGAGTTGGAGCTGTTGTGGAGGAGAAGCAATATGAGTATACAACATTGGGAAGGTGGAGGGATAGAATGACTCTCTTAACCAAGGTGTTATGGATCCAACGCAATGCCTGAGATGCGACAGTCAGTCTTACCTTGATCTGCTTCTCTGCTATATTATATTCCCGATCGATATGATCCAATCCCAAAGTGGATTTCCTGTCCGTGTCCGTGACGAATGTGTTGGTGGCGAACCGCCGGAACAGGGAGCTCTTGCCCACACCATAGTCGCCGCACAAGATCACCTTCTGCTTGGGTATGCGCATCGTGGCCATGGCTTCGATTTACCTTTGATTTTAGTCAAAAATTAATCCAATTACTTTGCACCTGCAGACAACAAAGCGCCAACAGCTGTTCCTTCTGAAAAAAACAAAACCTGTGAAGTGCTGCCAGTCTAGCGCACCAAAGTGTTATCGATAGTCAGCTCGATAACTACTATCAAATTTGAATAATGAAAGCTTTTATCTGATAAAGAGTTTGTTTTCTTTTTAATATAGCAAAGGTTGGTAAAAAGAAAAATTGTTAAGAATCATGGGAATTTTAATTAAATCAATACTCGATATCTGCAGAATTGAAAAGGGTTTCTTATCAAGCTTATTAAGTGGAATGTCTGACTTATTACCGTGTTTGCAAGCTAATGAGAAAACCTTATCAGGGAATCCATTTGGAATTTTAAAGAGAGAATTACAGAATATTAATATATATAAGCGAGAGCATACAAAAGGTGATTATTTGGTGTTATTTGTTTCACTTGCTCCCAGCGGCTGCAGTAGTCAATGAAACCTGAGTGCATGAGGATTAACGGAAACCTAGATTGACTTGTATAATATTTACAGGATTTAAACAGTCTAATAATTATTTTCTTTATATGTATACATATGTGTATTATACATAGTGTTACCTTCGAGTAAAACTGCGTATGTGAAGCTCAATCTAAGTTATTAGTTCAATATGTCGCTTTTGCTAGCCACTCTCTTGGCCTGCTCTGTCATCTTGACTAAAGGTAAGTGCCATACATCTAAAGTTATCTCGCTTTGGAAGCCTTAATTACAACATAATTTTTAATAAGAAAATTATCTACTCCAGGCAAAGCTGGCTACGGACCTGGGGAACAGGATTGGGGCTACGTGGACGTTCGGCCCGGCGCCCATATATTCTACTGGCTTTATTACACCACCGCCAATGTTTCGAGTTACACGGATAGACCTCTGGTCATTTGGCTCCAAGGAGGTCCTGGGGCTTCTTCAACAGGAGACGGTAACTTTGCTGAACTCGGGCCCCTCGATCTGAAAGGCAATAAGCGGAACTGGTCCTGGGTCAAGGATATGAACGTCATGTTTATTGACAGCCCCGTGGGCAGTGGCTTTAGCTATGTGGATAACACAACCCTCTACACTACCACCAATAAGGAAATAGCTTTGGACTTGGTGGAGATGATGAAGGGTTTCTACAAAATTCATCCTGAGTTCGAGACTGTGCCGCTGCACATCTTCTCCCAAAGCTACGGCGCAAAGGCTGCTGCCGAATTTGGCTTGGAGTTATACTATGCCACAGACCGCGGGGAACTTAGGAGCAATATTACATCCGTGGAGCTTGGAAGTCCCTGGATTTCTCCGATCGACTCCATTCTAGCCTGGGGACCAATACTTCAAGGGCTGGGCTTTGTGGACCAAGAGGGATACAACGAGATTATGGCATCTGCGAACTTGACAGCTCAGTTCATCGAGGAGGAGCGTTGGGTATTAGCCTTCAGCCAGTGGAGCCACACAGAGGACATCGTGTTTAGAGCTTCACATGGCGTCGACTTTTACAACGTGCTGTCGAAAACGAGCGCTGATTTTATAGATGATGAGGAAACACCAGAAGGTGAACAAATTTAATGGAAGGTGGAATGATTTAATGATTTAATACTTTTTCAGATAAATTGCTTAATATCTTGATGCGGGGTCCTGTTTTCCACGCACTGGGCATTCCAAAAAATGTGATCTGGGGGTGGCAAAAAGATGCTACCTTCGTCAAACTAGAGCCCGAATTCATGAAGCCTGTTATTCATATAGGTAAGGCATATGATTATCTTATAAAAGAGAATAACCTAACTGGTCTACAGTGAACGAACTGTTGGAGAAGACTCCAGTGAAGGTGAGTGTAGCCACCGGCAATCTTGATCTGATCTGCTCCACTTCCGGCAACGTTAAGTGGATAGCAAAGCTCAATTGGAGCGGGAGGAGCGAGTACTTAAGGGCGGCTAGAACCCCCATCAGTGTAGATGGTATCTTGGAAGGCTACCAGAAATCTGGCGGAAACTTCACCCTCTTTTGGATCAACCGGAGTGGCCACAACATTCCGGCAGATAATCCTGCTGCCATGAGCCACGTCCTCCGGGAATTGACTTCTTTTGGGTAGAATTCTGTAATATAATCTTTATTATAATATTATATATAATCATATTCATGATGTATAATCTGAAAGCCATTTAAAAATTGGGTCAGGGGATCGAATCTTAAATCGGTCATTACTATGTCAAAAATGTATTAATTTCAATTCGGAAAGCTTTCCTATGTTAGTTTTTATAACGTTTAAAAATCCTTTTATGTATCTTTAAAATAACTGAATATTGAATGATTTTTTCTATTATATACCCCTAAATGAACTCAATATGCCGCTTATCTACAAAAACCGGGTTAACAAATTAAAACTAATTATAGAACACGTGGGAGTTAGGGACTGCAAACAAGTGTTTTTCTATAAATACAGCTGTGTAGGGCTTGGTTCTGATCAGACTTTAGGTTACATTTGACCATGTCGCTATTTCTGGTCACTCTCTTGGCTTGCTCTGCGATTTTGTGTCATGGTAAGTGCCAAGGCAACCATAGAACTTATCTTCTAGTAAGAAAATTCTTAATTCAAGGAAAAACTGGCTACGGACCCGGCGAACAGGATTGGGGCTACGTGGACGTGCGACCCGGAGCTCATATGTTCTATTGGCTTTATTACACCACCGCCAATGTTTCGAGCTACACGGAAAGACCATTGGCAGTTTGGCTCCAAGGAGGTCCTGGCAGCTCCGCCACAGGATATGGCAACTTTGCTGAACTCGGTCCCCTCGATCTGGGGGGCAATGAGCGAAACTGGACCTGGGTTAAGAACATGAACGTCATGTTTATTGACAGCCCCGTGGGCAGTGGCTTTAGCTATGTGGATAACACAACCCTCTACACTACCACCAATAAGGAAATAGCTTTGGACTTGGTGGAGATGATGAAGGGTTTCTACAAACTCCATCCTGAGTTCGAGACTGTGCCGCTGCACATCTTCTCCCAAAGCTACGGCGCAAAGGCTGCTGCAGATTTTGGATTGGAACTCTACTACGCCACTGACCGCGGGGAACTCAGGTGCAATATTACATCCGTGGAGCTTGGAAGTCCCTGGGTCTCTCCGATCGACTCCATTCTAGCCTGGGGACCACTACTTCTAGGGCTGGGCTTTGTGGACCAAGTAGAATACGACAAGATTATGGCATCTGCGAACTTGACGGCTCAGTTTGTCAAGCAGGAGCGTTGGGGATTAGCCTTCAGCCAGGGCAGCCACACAGAGGACATCGTGCTTGAGGCTTCACATGGCGTCGACCTTTACAACATGCTGAAGAAGACGAGCGGGGAATTCATAGATGGTGAGAAATCACTAGAAGGTTAGCAAAGTTAATGGAAGGTCGTATGATTTATATAATTACCAAGTTTTTTCCAGATAAATTGTTTGATGTCTTGATGCGGGGTCCTGTTTTCCGTGCACTGGGCATTCCAGAAAATGTTGTCTGGGGACGGGAAAAGGAAGTTACCTTCGACTACCTAGAGCACGAGTTCTTGAAGCCTGTTATTCATATAGGTAAGGCATATGATTATCTTATTTAAGAGAATTAACTAACCGATCCACAGTGAACGAACTGCTGGACAAGACACCAGTGAAGGTGAGTGTAGCCACAGGAAATCTGGACCTTATGTGTCCGACTTCCGGCAACGTTAACTGGATATCGAAGCTTAACTGGAGCGGGAGGAGCGAGTACTTCAAGGCGGTTCGAACCCCGATCAGTGTTAATGGTATCTTGGAAGGCCACCAGAAATCGGGTGGAAACTTCACCCTATTCTGGATCAACCGGAGTGGCCACAACATTCCGGCGGATAATCCGGCTGCCATGAGCCACGTCCTCCGGTTGTTGACTTCTTTCGAGTAGATTTTTTTAGATCCCGCAACCATTATCTGTATCTTGACACTAAATGTATATAAGAATAATTAAATTGCTTCCCTTCCTAATTCCATTAAGAACCAGTTCGATAGGTCTTGCTATCAACCTGGTAAATAATGAACAGGCACCAACCACTGATTGTGATTTTTGCCTTTAAATAAAGCCACTAGCCAGCCCATAGTCTGCAGTTGAAGATGTCGCTTTTGCTGGTAACATTCCTAGCGAGCCTTGCCGCCTTGGCCCACGGTAACTATCATAAATCAAGTGCTATCTCTCTGAGGGAAAGACAGGTTACGTGGTAAAGAAGAGGCAATATATTAAATAAATATAATTTGAAATCCCAGGCAAGCCCGGCTACGGACCCGGGGAACAGGACTGGGGCTATGTGGATGTGCGTCCAGGCGCTCACATGTTCTACTGGCTTTACTACACCACCGCCAATGTCTCGGACTACACGGATAGGCCTCTGGCCATTTGGCTTCAAGGAGGTCCTGGGGCTTCGTCCACTGGATACGGAAACTTTGAGGAGTTGGGACCCGTCGATCTAAATGGCGATTGGCGCAACTGGACCTGGGTGAAGGATATGAATGTCCTGTTTATCGATAATCCCGTGGGCAGCGGCTATAGCTATGTTGATAACACAGCTTTTTACACGGCCACCAATAAGGAAATTGCTCTTGATTTAGTGGAGCTGATGAAGGGCTTCTATAAGCTGCATCCAGAGTTCGAGGCGGTTCCCCTGCACATCTTTTGTGAGAGTTATGGCGGTAAGATGGCACCGGAGTTTGCTTTGGAACTGTACTACGCCAAGGAGCGGGGTGAGGTGAAGAGCAACCTCACCTCGGTGGCTCTGGGAGATCCCTGGACATCGCCCATCGATTCTGTCTTGGCCTGGGGTCCTCTTCTCAAGGAGCTGGGAATTGTGGATCATGAGGGCTATAGGGCTATTCAGGAGGCTGCCAACTTGACGGCACAGCTGGTCGAGCAGGAACGATGGATCCAGGCCACCTATCAGTGGGGCAACACCCAATGGGAGGTGATGAAGGCCTCCAAGGGCGTGGACTTTTATAATGTACTGAAGGAGACTGAAGGCGGCCGTTATCAGAGGCAATTGGCTTTAAGTCCAGAAGGTATATCCCAAGAAAGGTCTTGTAACATTTAAATTGATATTTATTTCTAATTTTAGAACGTCTCTACCGAACCATGGTTAAATTCGACATCGACGAGGATCGCACTCAGTTGTTGGAGGATCTGATGAGAGGTCCTGTGGCCGAGACCCTTGGTATTCCCTCGAACGTGAAGTGGGGTTCTCAAAGTGGAACCACCTTTGACATCCACAGAACCGACTTTATGAAGCCCGTGATTCACATTGGTAAGGAATCTCTTCTTTCTTTCTTCTGAATATATATATAATTAAGAAAGCTTTTTGTAGTAAATGAATTGCTGGAAAAGACCCCACTGAAGGTGGGCGTATTCTCTGGTGGCCTGGATCTTATCTGCGCCACTCCTGGCACCGTCAATTGGATTGCCCAGCTGGACTGGAGTCGCAGGGATGAGTACCTGGCTGCTCCGCGTAATGCCATTACTGTGGACCGCATCCTGGAGGGTTATCAGAAGACTGGAGGCAACTTTACCATGTTCTGGATCAATCGAAGCGGTCACATGGCTCCGGCTGATAATCCAGCTGCCATGAGCCATATCCTGCGCGAATTTACCAATTTTGGGTAGACTTTTGCTACCATAAATAAAAATCAGTATAAAAATCAAATATAGCTTGTTGCTTTTAAGATTGAACAAAATCATCTCGAAGATTTTTAAACTAGGTTTGGGTATGTCAATTTTATTTCAATATAAGTGATTTATAAAGGAGCCATTCTTATACATCTAATAAATATTGGAAAAGTCTCACATTAAACTCCAAAAAATGAAGAAAAGTTCCTTCAATCACTTTGATACGAAATATCAAAGATGACACTGAATTATTAATCCTAAAAGTTTGATATTTAGGTATATATATTTTTATCATTTAAGCAAGATTGAAAGAGATTTCCTATACGTTATCTGGTATCTAAGAGATATGTCACCTGGGATAAACTGCAACCTTGGATCAATAAAAACAACTGGAAAAGCTTCGGGAAAACCCCTCTCTCAAGATAGTGAAGTGCAATCTCTGTGACTTAATGGCTCTATCTAAAAATATATGACAGAGAGATTGGCCAAAAACGGACAAGTGTCAAAAGCTTCTTGACCAAAGCCACCGCGTCATTGTCCATTGAAGGGCCATAAATACTCTGCAAACATACACGCACACTCCCAAGATTACGAATTCTAGGTGTGTCAGGTGCTGAGCTACCTTACCTGCGATGTCTGCGACCAAACAGCGATCAGATGGCAGTGGAACTGCCAAGTGTTCGGTTGGGTCTTCTAGATTTTGGAGCTACTGGAACTGGTGCAACATGACTGGACGGGTTATCACTGCTACTGTGGTGGCTCTGCTGGCGATCACCGCCAGCTTGGGCTCTGTCAACGGTGAGTTTGCCCGTTTTATATTCCAATCAGGGGGTGTTAATCAGCAAGAAAGTGTTCCAAGCCAAAGCGGATTTAATAGCTTGTGGAGCAGGTCAGAAAACGGCAGAAGTGGTCTTAAAATCTGTATTGTATTTAGGCCGTTATCAACTTTTATGAAATTTAATTTAATATCTTCAATATCAAAATCAATTAACCTTATCAAAAGCCACTAAGTGGCCTGCTTGATTTCATTTAATACACTTAACGGCTAGATTACACTCAAGTGTTCCAGGGAAACCAAAGCTTATCTGCAAACTTGGTTTATGCGGTAGCAATATACAATGTAGAAAGCTATAATTGGTAAATAAGATGGTGGAAATGTTGCTTACAGAAATTCTTATATAAAAATTAATTAAAATAATCTTTCTAATTACTCTAAAGCTCGCAAGGGTTATGGCTCTGGTGAGCAGGATTGGGGCTTTGTGGATGTGAGAACTGGTGCCCATATGTTCTACTGGCTCTACTATACCACCGCCAATGTCAGCAGCTACACGGAGCGTCCTCTGGCCATTTGGCTACAAGGTGGACCAGGTGCCTCCTCCACAGGTTATGGCAACTTCGAGGAGCTGGGACCTCTCAAGCTGGATGGAAGCTATCGTGACTGGACTTGGGTCAAGGACATGAATGTCATGTTCATCGATAATCCCGTGGGCAGTGGCTTCAGTTATGTGGATGGCTCCTCCTATTACACCACCAACAACAAGCAGATTGCTCTGGATTTGGTGGAACTGATGAAGGGTTTCTACACGAATCATCCGGAATTTAAGACCGTCCCGCTGCACATCTTCTGCGAGAGCTACGGCGGAAAGATGGCTCCCGAGTTTGCCCTGGAGCTGTACTATGCCATCCAGCGAGGAGAGATCGAGAGTAATTTTGTTTCCGTGGCACTGGGAGATCCCTGGACCTCACCCATCGACTCGGTGCTCTCCTGGGCACCGTTCCTTCTGCAGTTGGGAATCGTGGATCAGGATGGCCACGACAGGATCGAGGCTTCGGCTCTGAAGACCAAGGACTATGTGGATCGCGAAAAGTGGACACAGGCTACTCTCCAATGGAGCTCCACCCAATCGGTGGTGCTGCGCGAATCCAAGGGTGTGGATTTCTATAATGTGGAGACACCAACGCTGGGCGATACCTACAAGCTGGTGGCCAGGGCAGCCATGACCCCCGAGCGTAGGATCATGAATCCTAAAACTAAACTTGATGATGTTAATTGAGTTATTTTCGACAGAGATCATGTACCGTACTCTGGTGAAGTTCGACGTGGACGAGAATAGGGATCAGTTGCTGGAGGATCTGATGTTGGGACCCGTCACCGAGGCTTTGGGAATCAATACCGGAGTGAAGTGGGGCGGACAGAGCGGCACCACCTTTTCCAAGCTCATGGGAGATTTCATGAAGCCCGCTGTGGATATTGGTGAGTAAAAAGGGGATCTTTGATTAGATATTACGAACTTTATCTGGTTTCAGATTTCAGATAGTGTTATTTTCTGATATTTTATTTAAATACTCTGTTATTTATAATGTTCTTTAGTGGGCGAGCTGCTGAACAACACCACCGTCAAGGTCGGCGTTTTCTCCGGTGGCCTGGACCTGATCTGTGCCACTCCCGGAGCCGTTAACTGGATTGCCGACATGGAATGGAACGACAAGGCTTCATATCTGGCCGCTTCCCGTGTGGGAATTACCGTGGATCGCGTCCTGGAGGGATACGAAAAGACCGCCGGAAACTTTAGCATGTTCTGGGTGAATCGAGCTGGACACATGGTGCCTGCCGATAATCCGGCGGCCATGTCCCACATCCTGCGTCAGTTCACCAACTTTGGTTAAATGGAATTCCATTTTTTTTTGTTTATAAAAAAATAAAGCTAACTTTGGGAAGCCAATGTTTTATATACCCTTGCAGTTTGCATATTAATTATAAAATCAAATCGTAAATCAATCATAACTAAGCTTAAAATATTTATTTGATAAATTTTCAACAAATCAAAGCTAAAAAATTTCATAACTACTCCAAAAAAGCTTTCAATTCGGAAAGCGGTCCTTTGTTAGCTTTGATTAAGTTAAAAAATCTGCATTCTCAATTTAAAATTATAAAAATATACAAATTTTGCCCAAACTGTACTAGTTTTTATAACGTTAACAAATATGTATGTAAACTGACATGGCTAAATTAACTTAGCTGTTTATACTGAACAATAATATATGTAATATAGATGGATTCCAGGATTTTTTAAATAAAAATTAACTATAGTAGTTACACAAATACAACAAAAGAAAAAAGTAACATCCAACAATAAGTTGTATATAAACTTATATTTCCTGAAATGTTTTTTAACAAAATGATTTTGTGTTAAATAAATAAAATATTCGGAATTTTTTCGACAAATCCAAGTTTAAAAATCTTAAAACTCAGCCAAAAATTCGATACTTTCAATTTGGAAACCAGTTTTGTGATAGTTTTTATTAGGTTAACAAACCTGCATATTCAATTTAAAGTTTTAAAATGTACTTCTTTTTAAGAGTATTTAATAGTCGTTTGTCTCGTATCTTAAAATTATATTTGTTTAATTTACTTGTGTTTTTCAGTTTGGGCGCAAATTGATAACAGCCAGTTCATGCGGAGAGCTTTTGTGTCAATGAATAGCGGTTTGTTTGTGCATCACTTCTTGGCCAACTTACTTAGATATGTACATACATATGTACATATGTATCTACATACAATGTAAATATCTGTGAGATGCAGGTACTTTTCTCAATTTCGTTTAATTATAAATTACAAATGAAAGCCATTTTGCGAAAATGTTGTGCTGGCGGCGATCGCATGGCGGGGCTGCCACAAAAGTAACAGTAAAGTTGTCGCATGCGCAGTGGCACCTTCAGAGCGGCACTCACACATACAGTCACACACACACGCAGCGGCAAAATTGCCACCCTCTCTCCGGGTAGCTGCCTCAGCACCGCTCTCGTTCTAGCTGCCCACGCTGCGCATGCTACTCGCGGGAGAGAGAGAGCGCGAGGGAGACACATAGAGCGCGATGAGGAGATAAACAGCTATTTTCGTTTTGCCTTCGACTCGTCCACATCGTTTTCGTCCCACAGAATTGTAAACCGTCGTTGGAAAATCGCAATCAGCAAGAGCAAGGGAAATACAACAGAAACAGAACGGAATTAAATCGAAGCACACGGCAAAACGCAACGAAAATCCAAAGAAAAGCTGGCAATGACGAAATAATTTGAATTTGCAGTCAACGCGCATAATCGTAGCAATCGCACTCATACGCACGCACACAAACACACAGACGGGCGGCGCGGCGAGAGTGTGTGCGTGTGCCAGCGGGTGAGGAACTGGCCGAGGGGGTGAGTGGGCGCAGCAGCAGCAGCAGCAACAACACGAAAACAAACACAAATTGTGCCGTGTAAATTGCGCTCGGGCCGAGAAGCACGAGAAGCACAAACAATGCGGATACGCGAGAAACGCAAGTTGCAAAGGGAGCAGCGGGACAGGAAGGAGCCGAGGGAGCCGAGGGACTCCTCGAAGGCGGCGGCTAAGCGGGAGAAGGTAAGTGGCCACAGTTGAACGCCCCTAAAAAGGAATTTCCCTGACCATCCAACTTTTGTCCCCAGTCCAGCGAAGTGGAGGTTCTCACACCAGCTACTGCGCCTGCGCCTGCTTCTGCACCTGCTCCACCACCGACAGCGGCGACGGCGACGGCGACGACAACAACACCACCCACTTCGGGGACCCCACCCGCACCCAGTTTGCCGGCGGCCGAGAAGGTGGCCTTCGACAACCGCATCAAGCGTAAGAATGTGCTGGCCCTGAACGAGAAGGTGGCTGCTCTGCGGGAGTACGATCGGCTGCCGGTGTACAAGCACGTGGGGCGGCTGTTCAACTGCAGTCCGGATCAGATCAAGAGGATCGTGCAGCAGCGCCAAGAGATACTCAATGCCTGGGAGCAGCGCACGCGACGCAGCCAGGATGCCAGGACGATGGAAACGAAGACCGTGCGTGTGTCAATGCTGGGGAAGGCCGTGTATGACTGGATCCGCCGAATGATGTACTACAAGGATTTTAGCATCTCCGATGGCCTCATCCAGAAGATGGCTCTGCAGTTCAAGAGCTCGATGGGCCTGGCTCACTTCTTTCCGCACCAGGAGTGGTGCGACAAGTTCAGGCGCACCTACAGCATCCACCACAGCGACACGAAGCAGCTGAAGATTGGCTACACTCAGGGATATTCGGTGCAGATCAAGGACATCGTCAAGGACGTCATGTCGGAGTGCATGCCTGAAGGCGGTCCGAATCACGAAGGGGAGGAAGACGAGGAGCCCAGCTTGGGCAGCCCCCTGAGCAGCAGTAATCATCGAAGCGACGACGAGGACGACGATGTCGATGTGGACGGGGGCGATATTAGCGGAAGAGAGGATGACCTGGACGAGGAACAGGATATCAAGCCTTCGTTGACTGAGCTGAATCTTTCCCGGGCTATCCAGCCGCTGCCTCCGCTGGTCAGACTGCCCCTGCAGACCAACACACCGCCTGGTACCTCTCAAAAAGTGCTCCTGGCCACGCCCATTGTACCACCACAGGCAGCAGGCTCTGGCCAGCCCATGACCATGACTATTATACCCCTGGCCACGCTGGCCCAGAGTATCACACAGATTCCTTCGGCGCAGCCAAAGCAGCAGCCGGAGAAAGACAAGGGCCCAGTTGTGCCGCCGCCGAAATTGGAGATCAAGCAGGAGAAGGACATCAAAACGGAGCCGTGTGATCCAGAGGAGTTTCATCCAGAAACCCAGCAGCAGCAGGAGGAGGTGGAGCTATCCAGACCTGCAGCAGAGACTCAGACTTCAAAAGACAAAGTGTTCGAAACACTGCCAATGGTGCACATCAAACAAGAACCGGAGGCAGAGCCGGAAGGAGACATGGACCCCGAAGCCGATGATCCCGAGGAAGATGCAAACAATGGCCGCTCGAGTGTCACGTCGCTGGCTGAGGTACTGGCCGCCAATGTGGAGGACGAGATGGAGTACATCGAGCAGATGCGGCAACGCAAGATGAGTTCGCCTCCGCCAATCGGGAAGCCGTCAAACCATCGTCAGGGAACCAAACGCCGCCATGAATCCGCTCACGATGACAACAACAACGGGGAGTCTGGCGGAGGACGCGGCAACGTCATCAGCTGTGCCGATGCCCGCAAGTACCTGAAACTCCTGGAGGAGTTTGCACTTTACAAGGAGAACTACCGGCTGATTGGGCTAATCACACGGGCTGACGAGGTGATGCGGGAAATGGACGACGGAGCAGAATAGGATGCCTCGCAAGAGGAACAGCTACAGCCAAAGAGCACGCATTGGCTATTTAGGAACTGTCGCATCTTGAAGATGCCGGTCGGTCGGATGCAATCAATCATTAGATCTAAGGCCACCCTAATTTGTACTCAAACCAAAAATAAACCCAATGAAATCAATTGCTAGCGCCAGTAATCTTGTCGTGAAATCCAAGTGCCACTGGATAGATATTATATGGAACTTACACTATAATATTATTAAAAGGCCATTTTCTTAATTACTTTTCTAGTAATTCTAGAAAAATAAAAGTACCATTTTGAAACAATAGGTTATTTAATTATTTGACCTGTATCGTGCCTTCGTACGCTCCTTCCTCTCTCTCGCGCACACACACACGTCGTATGGGTGAGAGCCAAAGAGAGCACAAATACAACGGTAAAAAGAGCTCAATCATTTCGATTCAATTTTCATTTCCGCAAGAAATTTTCCTCTGCTGCGTGAGTATTTTTGGAAACGGTTGCAAGATTTGTGAAAATGTTAAGGAAATGTGTTATTAATAGTGAGCGTTTTGCGGCTTTCAATCGGCAATCTTGATTGCGGCAAATTTAGGAAATGCGCATGTCTGCATGTTGTTGTTCTCTGCACACACACACACACTAATGCAGGAGAGTTAATTTCTTTGTTTATAAATGGCACAATAGCAATATAATATAAATAACAAGAAAATTTATAAAATGAAGCATTTTATTTAACGCTACACAATTAATACGAGTAAGATAATGCGCATTTTCAGACATTCATTCATTTGATTGATTGACTTTGATGGCTGTGTGTGTGAGAGAGTGCGAGCAAAACAAAAAGCAAAACAGAACCAAATCACACACACACATCGACGAGCCAACTAATCAATCATCAATCGACACACTCGCACACACACACTGCCAATGCTCGCTTCATCTCCATCAACGATTCATTTCGATATTGGCGCTTGAAGAGGGAGCACAAAACCGCTGGTTGGCAGAGGTGGAGGACAGCAACAACAACAAAAACAGCTGGATTTCATCAAGCATTTCGGCCCTACCCATTCGGTATAAATGTGTTGAAGCAAGTGGGCAGTACCGGCTCAGCTGTAAACAAAAACAGCCGCTTGGAGCGCCAAATTAATATTCAAACAACAAAAATCTTTCTAATTTAATTAATGAATTTCTCCACAGATGACATCTGGTCTGCCGGATCGCTTCAGTGCAGGAAAGCGCCAGTTCTGGCGTGAGTTCCTCGCGCTCTATCAGGGCATGCCGGAGCTGTGGGATGCCCACCATATCAACTATCGTAATAAGGAGCTCCGGAATCGAGCCTACGAGCTCCTGGAGACGAAGCTCCGAGAGATTCAGCCAAATGCCACGCGCACCGAGGTGGGAAGACGCATCAACATCTTTCGGACCAATTACAGGCGCGAGCAGTTGCGAATCCTCAAGCAGAAGGAGCTCGGTCTGCATTCGGATCTGTGCAAGCCAACGTTGTGGTTCTACGACTATATGGGTTTTCTGTTGACCCAGGATACGTTTCAGCACAGGACGAGGAAGGGACGGACGACGAAAGCAAGTGGGAAGCAGAGATTTAGCTTCCGGTGTTCCAAAGAAGTAAGTTTTTCAAATAATCAACTCTCCATTCCTCTCATATGACTTCATTAAGGTAACTGCAGATCCGCCGGACAGCGTGTGCGATTGGCAGATGAAGGATAGCACAGTCTCCAATTACCTGCCTGAGCCAGCTACCCCGCAATCGGAGGAAGCCTCCTTACTTAGCCCGAAGGTGGAGATAATCGAAGCGGACGAGGGCAACCCCACGCATGGAATGGAAGTTACGGATGATCTCAAGGAGGAAGCAAATATGTCAGATATTCCGGGGAGTACAGAACCCACCTGTTCCACGCACCATGAAGATGCCGTCAACGGTGGAGTGAGCATTCGAAATCAAAGCCTTAGCGAATCCTCTGAAGTGCTGGCCAAATCCTGGGCCATTCAGTATGAGGAAATGTCTCCCACGCAGCGTATCCTGGCGCGGAAGGCCATTGCGGATATACTCTTCGAGGGTTGCATGGGAAATCTGCGAATAAATCGCGGCGAACCAAGGAATACTGTGGGCAATTATCTGTAATTTTTGGAAAAACTATTACTATTGTTTATTCCCTAAAATGTTATATCGCCAAAAGAAATCAAGCTGATTTTCCATTAATATTTTGAGAAGAGTTAGTATAAGCCTATAATCGAAATAATCTTTATTTTTAAAATACAACTCAGGCCATTATTATTATTAAAAGCAAATTCAAATAAAATGTTTAAGAAGGAATGAATATTAAGTCCGAATAAATATCTTGAATCTTACAAATGAAAAATAACTATACAAGCCATACAATTTTAAATTTTTATTGCAAAATTCAAATTACCCGCCAAACTATTCTGCTTTTCCAGGGCTGCCCACTTGCCACACTTGCAACGCGTTTGCAGCCCTGTGACGCATTGAAAACATCTGTTATTAAAACGCTTGATATTTGTTTGGTTTCTTAAAAATTCATCCTACTAGTGGAAATGACAGAGACTGTCCCTTTGTCAGCCGCCGCTTATCAGGTGCACGGCTGAGGTGTTATCAGCGAGTATGCACTCACGTTTGGCAGCGGAAGAGGATCATAAATTAGCTCACAAATTCCTGTAAGTACAATATGCTTAATGTTTCCAAGCCGAGTCCTTCTAAATTCCTTTGGTTTTCTTAATATTTCCAGGTTTCTGGAGCGCTTGGAACATGTTTATAGGCTATTGGATGCTATATTTACACAAACTGTTAAGGAAAGTTCACAAGTGGCCACCGTGTCACTTTCCTCGCCTGTTGGATGGCCACATGTTTCGCCTTGTAAGTAATTGTCAGTGAGCTCCCCCACTCCCCGCTTATCAGTAAATTCTATTACATTTCAGCCTAAAGGTATTTGCTCTCTAAAGAATCTTCCGCAGACTTTTAATGATGCAAAGGTGCAGTGAGCTTGGCAACAATCCAGAGTGAGTCCGTTGAACATCACTTTTCTACTTAGATACTGACAATTTCACCATTTTAGAGCCTTGCAGCAACTCTTTCGCTTGGGTAAAAATAGACTGAAAGTGAAAAAGGGTGCAGATGGTCATTATCTTGAGCATGAGTGCCGGGACGAGCTGCAAAAGACATTGCCTGCCACGACATTCGATTCACTGATGTCCTCGGTGGCTACCTGGATGGCACGTCTCGATGAAAAGGACAAAAAGGTGGAACGCCAACGGAAAGCAGCTGCAAAGGTGCCTAAAAAATTACAACCAATACCACCTGTGGAGCAACAGACGTCGGAAAGCGACAGTAACAATGAGTTAAGTGCCGTGGTCGACCTCTGCAGTGACGGCGATGAGAAGTCTTCCCTTGGTACAGATGAAGACTCGCTTGACACTGAAACCGTTGCCTCGCAATCCTCCGTTGTAATTATCGACGATGATCCGGGCGAAGTAAACTTAAAGGAATTTGCGGAACACGTCAAGGGCAAACTGGATGTCGAAACACTGAAAAAGAATAACGAGAAGTATCAAAACATCACACAGGACGCGATAGTGAAGGTGAAGGAAGGATCGGATGCGTTGCGACGGTCTCTGAAAACGTACGAAAGAAAAAGAAAACCAACTGTAGAGTCAATTGGAGAAGCATCTAACGAAGCCATGACCACGAACCAAGATCCAAAGATTCTGCGAGAAATTAACCGGGAAGCATGCCGAGAAGCGGGCCAAAAGTCGAGGAAATCTGACTTTCAAGGTACCAAAGTTGATAAAGAAGTAACTGCTAATGGAGGTACTACTCTGGTTCCTGCTGGTAATTCCCAGCAAAAACTCCAGATAGTTACAGAACCCGCTGCTTACTACAACCTCGTAGGTAAACATCTTGTGGAAGACATAATCGAACAAAGTGAATTGGAGTCCAAATTAGAGGAAAAGAAGACAGAACCTGAAAAACGTACAAATGCCAAGGAAAATGAACCTAAGAAAAGCTACAATCTAGAACAGGCCGAAGAACGGACGAAAGATGGAGCTGTTCCCGAAGATTCTTTGGGAAATCAAAGAATAGAACAAGATATTTACTCTCCCCAGATACGTATACGGACTGACCTTGGTCCTCATCAAACAGATGCTATACGCGTTCGCACCGATCTGTTGCATGAGCAACAAAGTCCATCCGCAGAAACCTTGGTGCCTGAAAGAACACCGAATAAGCGAATACTGCCAGAGGCTCAGAGCTCACAACATCCGCCCAAAAGACCCGCTCTAGAAACGTATTATCCCCAGTATGCATTAGGCTCAGTTGCAGCCCCATCCTCCTCATGTCAACTCAGTAATTCTATTACACCCGGCAGCAGCGCTGGGAATCCATCTGGTACCCCAAACTATCAGGGGAATCCCACCACAGCCAGACCTCCCCCAGTAAATCCAACGCCATCCAGACCTCCTCAAGTTAATCCTGCGCCAGCACTTCCAGTTGTCACCGTTAAATACAAACTTCCACCTTTGAGACCTTTTGCGCCAGTCACCAGCACCTCATCCTCCAGCAACAGCAGCAACAGCTATCAAGGAAATGTATCCAACAGCTGTCAGCAAAACCTCAGTATTAACTCCAGTCATACCCATAATTCGGTGAATTCTGCATCAGTTAGCTCTTCCGGATATCCGCCTGGCAGCCATATGTATCCGGTTACCAGTACATCCAGCCATCAACCAAATAACACAGCGAGTCGTGTTCCGATTACCAATGGCGGACATCCTTCAGCTAATCCTATGCCTACACCACAAGCTCCATATTCGAATTTTTCTACAGTAATACCTATCACTGCACCTCCACCAGCAGAATCACCAATTATACCAATGATGAACCAGTATCCACCTAGCTATCCATACCAACCTTCAATGCTAATGGCTGCTGCACCAGTCGGTACTTCAATGCATCCACCACGTGCTCCCGCTGCTTCAATTCCCCCTTCAAGTTATGCCCCAGTTCCGCCTATGGCACCAGTTCCAGCGCCTGCCATGGCTGGTAGTGCAGCCACGGTGAATCCACCATTCGATCTGGCCCGCATTATGGATATGCTCAGTCAAGTGGAGTTGTTTGCGTTTGGACAGGACAATCAGGAGGCCTTTCATCTCGTCTCCAAGCTGCGAAACAGCCTCCAGAGGAAAGCGGCATTTCCGTATCGTCGATAGATTTAAGAAGCATTTCAATTATTGTACTAAAATATTTATAGATGTAGGGAAAGAAGAGTATTGTTTATTTTGGATAAAAACGTTTTATATTGGTTATTTCTTTTTTTAACCTTGTATACAAAATTAATATTTATTAGCAATAAAAGAAATTTGTGTATTGGAAAAGTATACATAAATCAAGGAATACTGTTTAGATTTTTATGAAGTCATTTGTTTTATCCTCTAAACTTGGTTTTATTTCATTGAACTCTTTATGCTACATCTGCCAAAAGAATTATCAGAACTTATTTTCCAAAAGTTCCTATTAACCCTTGCTTTACCAGAACAAACCAAGCTATTTTATTTATGCCTGAATTGCAGTGATCTTCTGAAAATAGGTTTCTAAATAATTTATCCAGCTGTTGCTTTGGCTGCACCTGTGGCCTTTAAGTTCACAAGATGGGCTCGAACCTCTTTAGATTGCGCCTGCTCCCCTCCTGAAAGACCGACATCCCCCACAGATGCGGTGGAGTTATTAGGTCCGATTTCCAGTACAAACTGATACTTGAAAAACATTATTTTAAATGTAATTCATTACCACTAACCAAAGATATTAGACGTTTGTGCTAGTTGTGTATTTATTTTTATACTCAATAACAATATTTTTATATAGTAAATAATCAATCAAGGTACTACATTTTTAGCCTCTCCTGTGTGTATGATTGCCATTTAGCTAGACAACTGCAGGGAAAAATTCAAATCGCCGCAAGACGTTGGATTGGTGGGGCTGGTTCTCTGAGCTGTTGTAGCACTTTGCACCTGTCGTCCGCCCAACGCAAGTGAAAAATCAAGCGCAGCTTTAATTGATACAACACACAGCCACTGTGGGAAGGAGTGGGGTTCCGATGTTCCATGTAGGATTCATGCCGCATGCTTCATGCTGCATGCTGCATGCTGCAGATACTGGGGGCTGGGTGCGATGGGATGCTGGGCGATGGGCAGTTGCAATCGCAAGTTGCAGTTGCAAACTAGTCGCGGCAAAAATGCTGTAAGAAATGCAAGGCAGCTGCCGCCGAAGGAAGGAGGTGGAGGATAGTGAGTCCCACAAGTCGTTCTCTCGGGGAGGAAAAGCGCCCTTCGAGGGGCCGAGTCCTAAATGGGCATTGAAATTAAATGCAGCTGCTTTAATGATGATGCAGCTTGGGCCGGGGTTCCGATTCAGAGATGCCAGCTGGGCCGTCCTTCATCAGATTTATCTATAAGTACAGTGAGCTAAGCTTTGAAGCAAAAAAAAAAATGTAAGAGTTTATCAACAAACAAGAAATTAAATTAATTTTAAAAGCCAGAAGTTTGTATATCCTTGCATATAGCCATAGGATTATGGGTTCAAATGTAGAATTTATGAAACCTAAGCCTAAGCTGTATACTGACATGGTTAGATGATGCTGATCATGTTATTATGATAGATTTCTGGATTTTTTAAAATAAAACAACTATAGTAGTTACACCAAAACAAAAAAAAAAAAAAATGAAGCCCAACTCCAGCCGGGAAATCGATTCCCTGAACTTCCGGCTGTGTGGTTCGATGACTCAGTTAGTCACAGGACCACCGGGGCTTATGTCACAGCCAAGATTATGTTATATTTAAATTTATATTCCCTGGAACGTATAATAAAACCTCAAGAAAGGCGCCAAAACCAAGCAAAGGATTTTTAAGCACTGTGCATCGGGTATTATAATGTTTGAAATTATCGATGCTAGGGCTCTCTGGCATCACTGATCGCATAGAAAGGATTGGAGGCGAGGATCCGGCATGGACAAATCTGTGAATATGCCAGAAAAATGCTCCCCCCATTGGGCGTGTATGGTGGGGCGTGGCTGGGCAGCCACGACTGCGCCGGTGGCCAACGATTCCCTCAACTTGGTGGGCGCCAGCAATCTGCAATCTGCAACAGCAATAGCCGCAGCAGCAGCAACATCAACAGCAACAGCAACAGCAACAATCTGCTGCAAAACACGGCGCCTTTTTGCCTTTTTGGGAATTTAATGGGAGTTGCCGTTGCCTTTTTTGGTTCAACAAAATCAAGCAACAAAAATCTCTTTTTATCGTTTGCTGAGATGATGATGATATCGTTTGTTTGTTTGCTTGCCAGCAGCTGTACTGGCATAAAAATAAACGCGATTCGAGATACCTAGCTGGGCAAAAAGGCTCAGCATTTAGGCTTAAACTGCGCCCCAAATGATTGCAATTTGGCCATAACCAAAGCGAAAGCCAGAAAGAGCTGATCCAGGTCCATCTCCAGAGCCCAGCCCTAGTGGCACGATTCAATCATGGTCAGCACACGATCTGGCTTGCTTCTTACTCATCAATAAATGGAGAGGATCTTGAACAGAGGTCAATTTGAAGCTAATTCTGAAGCTTTACAGCAAAGTACGATAAATTCCCATTAAAGCTGCATTTTTTATAGCTCATAAATTAAACTATTATCGCATAACACATGCTCTGTAAAGACATGAGCCATGATACTCGCTCTATACTCCAATTTTAATTACACCTTTCCCATATGAAAATACTTTACAAATTCCACCCAAAACTACATTCTAATTGAAACAAAGCTTATTGTTATTGTATATTCCCAAGCCAGAGACCTTTTGTGAAGCCCAAAAATGTGAGTAAACAGGGAAAACAATAACGAATTGCATTTCCCACACATATAGTGAGAGGCACGCGTCCGGAAACCACCCCGAAATCAGAAACGCATCCGGCGGATTGCAGGTGTGCGGGTCAAAGATACACTTAATATACTCGTACTATATGGTGTAAGCCATATAGGGGTGTGATCCGATTCGATCCAGGGGCTTATCATGGCCCTGGTCAGGCTGTTGCTTCTCAGCAGCTCGTCGCGAGAACGGAGAATCCCGGGAGTCACACGAGAACCGAAACAGTTGTGGGACTAAAACTGGGACTGAGACTGGGAATGGAACCCACTTACCATGGTAAGAGGGTGGCATTCATGGGTCGTGTGAACTTTGCTGAGGGATTACACTGCCTTACAAATGGGAGTGCTTTTTTTGCGGGTAGCCTTAAAATTATATTTAGCAGCTGTCCAGGAGAAGGATTAGAAAAGGCACAGAGATAGGAATATTACTTTTATTTTGTTTATATAATTAATAGATTTTTGGGGATGTATAAAAGAAAAACTTTAAAAATACCACTTGGGTATTGTGATTTAAATGTTATATGATTTTAAACAAGGCTCCAAACTTACCTTTTTTCATTCTTTCTTTTATATTAAAGAACTTTCTTTGTTAGCCAGTGTTTTCTGTGCTTTCTGCCAGCTAATGAGACTCTCCAGAAACTGAGAAAGATATTCAGTGAGGTTCCCGAATGTGGATTCAAATGAAGTTTCTCATGAGGTGTGTCCAGCTTAATGTGGGAAACACCGACCCAGAATGCTGGCCAGGAATGGGAGTGGGAAAAATAACTCTCGATTTTTCGGCATGAGTTCTTTTGTTATCCAGCAATTACATGATCAAAAATTCTCCTCGCATTTTCAATTCCGAAATTGCTCGAGTGCCTTTCGCACGATGCCAAACTGTGGGACTGAGAACTATATCAGATATATATATGTTATGTATATATTTGCTATCCTGGGTGCATCTTAATGAATTGCCGGTCATTTGGGGCTTTACCTATTAACCCGAACCTTAAGTCCGAGACCATAAGTCCCATAAAAGTTGACAAGAGAGCAGCTGGAAGCTGGACAAAGGCCAGAATTCCTTCCTTTTTTTTTTGACCCCAATGGAGCGTTAATGACTCTGGGCAGCCCGAAAAAATATATAAAAGGATACGGCGCCCTTTGATACCCGGCATATTTTCCACACCGCATGGCTTTTGATTTGGACATTTTTTGTGGCCGAAACTTTTATGGGGGCCCAGTGAGTAAGCCGAAAGTTGGCTTTATGGGCCGGCGACACCTTTTAAGCGCGCCAATCGAATCAATGTTTTAACACGAGAATACCATTTCCAAAACGAGCTCATTAACGATTTCCGAAATAAAAAAAAAAAACTTTATATATATATATAAATTTGCAGGACAAGCCGAAATTCTACGAATATGGCCAGAGGCAGCTGCAAATTGGGCAAAACTTTTGGGTCGCGGAATTCATATTCGTTTGATTTCATTTCGCAATCCTGCGAAAGTGAAACTGACAGCAGGTGAACGAGGTAAGGTATTCCGAAATAACATTTATATATATTTTTTTGAATTTCTTCTCCCTCCTTCCCTCTGCAGTGAACAACTTTTGGCAATTTGAAAATCTCTGCCGCTAATTACTCGCGACTGGAAACGGGGACAGGCAGCTGCTGCTGCTCTTGGGATCCGCATCCGAATCGGGATCGAGAATTGGGCTTGGGAATGAAACTGGGGCCTTGTTGCCTAATTGAACTCATCAATTTGGACTTAATGAAGTGGCAGCCGGCAGTCCAGAAAATGTCGCCTCGCATTTTCGAGTCGATCGCCGCTGCAATTCATGAGGCATTCACATCGCCTCGCATCTCTCTTTATTTTTCGGCCGATAACGGGGCATAAAGAAGCCCCATCGTCGATTCCCAGCCAGCGGGCCATCGGAGCTTCCTGTACAGCAGCCACTGGCTACCGTGGCAGCCGTTTAATTAGCGGGTTAATTGCCCATGAGGCGGCGGCTCCCCGGCCATGTATGTCTCCATCGACCAGCCCCATTGCCTCATTCGCAGCATCTCTGCAACTGCATCTGCATCTCCTCAGCTGCTGGATTCGGCAACTTCATTAATAACAGAGATAGCCAGATTTTTACTCTGGCCAACTGCCGTTTGTCATAGATGCAAGTGTACTGAGACAAAATATATTTAATTTATAGAAATTTATTAAACAAAATTGTGAACTATTTTATAGTATTGCTTAAGTATTAGTATAAGTATTTCTTAAGTACCAAATCAAATATTGTAAGCCTTTAAACTAATTAAATTTTTAGCTATAGTTAGTCTAGTTAAAGGTTATTACATAAACTAAATTAAGACACAAAAAATATTGTTTTATTTGAAAAACGGAAAGGGA